ATGATTTATTTTATTGTTAGCTTTCAAGGAACTTAAAGAACTGTAATAATTGTAAACATCAAAGGAACAACACATTTTTTAAATACTGAATAATCTCATTTCATTAATAATTTGGAAGGATTACAACTTTAGTACAAGTTTCAATAATCCTAAATACAAGAGGAAGAAAACTAGAATCTAAATAACCACATCTAAAAAAGACCCACTCCATGCTGACGCTTCCTCTTGAGCCCTTTAATCTGACTCTTTAACTGATTATTCTCTATCACAAGCTTGTCAATAACTCCTTTCTAGGCACTGGAGGTAGGAAGAATGTGAGAATAATCTTGGACACTGTAAACTGGCTGAATGCTAGAGGAAAATAAATCTTCTTGTTCTTTCATCCTCTCCATATCATGTCTCTCAAGAATCTCAATGAAATCATCTTTCTCCTTCATTTTCTCCTGAAGTGCCGAGTATTCCATATCCATAGTTTGATGCTTGTTCTTCCAAGCGTCATTCTCTTGTTGCATCTTGACTAAAGCAAGTTGAAGCTCTTCAACATCAGTCAAAAGAGGAGGCGTAGGTTCTATAAAAATTTCAGGTAAGGGTTCTTGACGAGGATAAGGCTTCTTCAAGTGATATGCCCTTTCTTGCACCCACTGAAGATAAGGTTCCAAAGAAATGCAACCTATTTTTCCTAATGCTTCTCTTCCCTTCCTGTGGATGTGACATCATGCTTGACTAATACTCTCCTTTGGATGCTTTGTTGTCTTCCCCCTCCTTAAGAAGCAAAAACCACTCACTAGAATGTTACTTGGTTTGTCCCTCATCAGATATCCAAGTTGACGACATGCCAAAACAGGGTTGTAGTTGATGCCTCCTTTTGTACCAAAAAGAGGTATATTAGGGAAACTACCACAACTATAAAAAGTCCTAACTCCATAATAGACTTGATTATACCACACAATATTGTAATGAGTAAGAGACATGATCTTCCCCTCTTGGTAAGTAGTAGACCAAGACAAGTGAGAAATAAACCACTTGTATAGCAAAGGCGCACAACAGACAATCATCCCTTCTTGGCAAGAATTTTGAATGTGAATGGAGTAATAAGAATCTCCAAGCAAAGTGGGGACTGGATTCTCAGTCAAGAAGATCCTAATGGCATTAATATCAACAAAATTGTCAATATTAGGGAACAAGAATAACCCATAGATGAGTAGAGCAAGAATAGCCTCAAAAGCGTTGACACTTTTCATGCTATCAAAGTGATGAGCTCTCTCTATCAAAAACTTAGCAGGCAAACCCCTAATACTTCCCTTAGAAATCATATGAGCCTCAATCTCGGACTTTTTTAAGTGCGTGGCTGCTGCAATATCTTGAGACTTAGGTTCTTCTTCCAAACCAGAGAAAGGAACATGATTAATAATAGGTCGACCAAGCAGATAAGAATACGTCTCTAATGTACGCATAAGCTGATAATCCATAAAGGTGAAACATTGGTACAACAGATCATAGAACTGGACCAAAGTAGTGAGGATTCCATCCTTCATGTTGATACGCAAAAGAGATAAAAGCCCTCATATTTCTTTCTGAAAGCCCCAACCATTGTCAATCAAAGATCCCAACTTTCTCAACTCTTCTACCTTAGGAATCTTGAAACTGTACTTCTGAGTCTTTCTTCTTCCAAGATCCATGGTCAAAGAGTACTTGTGATATTTGCAAAGATAAGACTTAAGTTCTTTGAAAACTTGGTTAAAGAATGCCATGGATGCATGAATGTATGACGATGCAATAATCACACACAAGATCATAAACAAGGGGGATTCATAAGTTCGGCGTCATGAGCTTGAAGTCAAAGGTACTACCTATCGCACGTGTAATATGAAAATGTAGTGGTAAAGATTTGAGACTAAGTCATTAATTGACTTAACTCACACAATGAAGTCGCCAGTGCACTTTATTGTTTCCAAAGGAAAATGAAAAAAAAAACGAACAAAATCCAAAATAAAATAAAATTGAGATCAAGGTACGGGGGTCGCTTATGCAGAGGGAAGGTATTAGCACCCTAAGTATCTACGGCACTCCGCAGGATCCACTTTGTTTGTTTTAATCAGAAAGTGTGTTATCTAAATCTTAAACTTTCTAAAAGGGAATGAATGAAATAGTATTTAAAAACAAAAGAAATGTTTTTTTATTATTGCACCCTCCGCGGTTGTGAACCTTTGTGCCAACATACTCCCTTCGTGCAATAAGGGATTAGTGCACTCGTAGTTCTTCTAGAAAAGACTTGTATGTTGGTTGATTTTAAATGAAGAGACAAGTCATAATTTTTAGGAGAGAAAACTCAACTAAACGTCCACAAGGTGTAAGAAAGATGGACCATACGTCAACATGAGGAGGGTTTGAAAACGCCTCTGGAACTCAAATGGAAAAGTCGACACCCTTATAACCCTGGAGATAGGAGGGCGATATCTCGACTATAAATGAATCATAACTAATATTAGAAAAAGTTTTAAAGGATAAAAGGTGCTCGAGCGCACAAAAAGGTTTGAATGAGGTTAAATATTTTTATTGGGATAAATAGCAAATGGATCCCACTGGATGGACACTTACTACTTCTCCGTTTATTTGTGAAAAGATTTGCAAATTGAATCATAATAAAGTATGAAAATGGAAGAAAGAACAAGATTCAGTCTGTACCCGCCTCATCCTACCCCAAAAGACTCAACTGCATACGATTCACATCTTTATTTATTAAGTGTTATGGATTTTGATAAAGAAAAAAAGAAGTTTGAAAAGGCACTCGACATAGTCGAGATTTATTATGAAAGCAGTTCGAGTTTAGAAAACAAAGAAGGTTTTGAAAAAAAGACGAGAAGGTTTTGAAAATTGAAGAATGGAGAAGATGAAGTGAATATCCCATGTACAGGAAAGTAAAAGGTAAAGGTAAGAAAGATCTGACCAAATGGAAGTTCATACTTGATATAAAGAAATCAACATAGCGTTCCCATCCCTTTAGATTTAAAGCCACAAGCAGATAAATAAGCCAAGAGTATACCAAATCTCAGGTGAAAGTAAATCATGCAGGCAACATCAAAGAAACCCAAGCGTCAGATAATACTCAAAGCATCAGATAGAGCGCATCAAGTGAAAATAAATCACAAGTGGGGAAATCGCATCATGTAAGCTCAAGATGTCAGCTAAAGCGTAAAGCGTTAGATGAATGTCAAATAGAAATCCCTGTGTCAGATGGAAATCCAAACAAACTGACAAAAGCCAAGAGGTATCAGAGCAATAAGTCCAAGGCATCAAGTGAACCAAAGAAACGCCAGTCAGACGGTCATAATCGCACCTCAGAAATCAAGTCAAAATAGTCACAAGTGTATGAGTGAAACATGAATTAACTGTTTAACCAATTAATTAAGAATTGATTGAGTTAATTATCTGAATTAAGAAAAATCAATTAGTGAGACTAATCAACTTTAATTAATAAGAATTAATTAACTAAAGAAATATTTAATTAATTAACTTAAAGTTAAATCATGTGTACCAGATAAAATCGGATAAAGGCTACTAAATAAAAAATAAAATGGAAGTTCAATCGATTAATCAAGAGTTGATTAACTTAATTAACCAAGTTAAGAAAAATGAATTAGTAAACTAATCAATTTTTAATAGCAAGATCAAGTAAATAAACCAAGTCTTGATTAATCAATCAAAAGCGAATAAAAGATGTGAAGTGGAAGTGGCTACTTTGATCCATCTTGAGAAAACTTAACAAACCAACAAACAAGTTAGTAATCACGAGGTATAAAATCGAAATGAAACTTAAATGATGCATATAAACAAATGAATGTTTCATAATCAAGAATCAAGAAATCAAATTATTATCCATGTTCATATAAAAATCAACATTGCATTCTATTCATATTTAATCAAGTGAACTCAAGAATAAACATGTTTTTCAAACCATAAGTGCAACAAGAAGTAGAGATTCATAAAAATTGGGTTCAAAACAAGCTCTAAAACCCTAAACCAAATCCCAAGCAGCCATGAACATAAATAAATAAAGCTCAAAAATTCAACTTAACTCAATTGAACGCTACCGGAAAACCAACGTCATTGCAATCAAAATTTCACCGTTTGAATTCAACACGAAATGCAATCAAAACATCATCAACTACTCATTCAAATTGGTTCAAATCAACATGCTATGAAATTAAATTCAAAATCAAGATTTAAATCAAAAAACTAAACTCTGGACAGCAACTAACACCTATCTAAGGAGGCTCACTAAATCCATCTTAATTAAACTCACCACACATGGAAATAGAATCAAATTCTAAAAACCAAATGAACTAAAGCAACATCGAAACTTCTTTCGAATTAAGTTCAAACAGCATGCCGCAGCAATAAACTCAACTCATGATTCAAAACAAAAATATCATAACTCCATCATAAATTCCAAATGATTTTAACACACAATTGCCGTCATAACTTCCTCATAAGGATCTAACACAAATACAACACCGATCAAAGTCGACATACAAGCTATCACAATCAATAAACAAGTGCTGACTCCAATACGTACCAATCGAATTCAACACGAATAACCTCATACCATTAGATTTAACACAAACGGAACGAAACTGAAACCAAAACTAAAACTCAGAGTCAAACAGTATAGCATGAACTGTCAAATTCGAACATCACAACACACACTCATGACTAGAATCCACATATACAAAACAGATCTGTAATGAAAACTCGTTACCAGATGTTGAACCAAGACTTTGACAAATAATTGGATGCCTTCAAATCTCACATGCTGATGAAGTAGCAAAGACCGAACGAGATGAAGGTATTGAGTTAAGAAGTTGCGTTGAAGAGATACGAAGGGAGCGAACTGTATGGAATCAGCGTTGGAGGTTGAATTGAAGGGAGTATATCAGTGGGATGACGAAGATGGTTGTAGCTGAGCGGTTTCGGTTTGACAGAAGTGGTGTAAGGTGTTGTTACGGAAGCTGCGATGGTGAGGCAGCAGCTAGCACGGAAGGGAGTTGGGTGTTGACAGGCGGGTATCGTGAAAACCGGTGAGTTGATGGAGGCCGTCGAAGAAGTATGAGGCGACGGGAAGAAGGGCGTTCGGTGATGGACTGGTTATTCTGCGTCTTGGTGAGAGCGAGAAACGGACGGAGTGAGGTATGGAGAATGAAGCTGGGTGGAGAGTGGGCAACGAGAATGGAGGTAGGCGGAATCAACATAAAAACACCCTTTATGACAAAAAATTAACATAAAAACGAAACGATTAAAAAATAACGGCACTCAAAAGTTTTTTTTGTTTTTTTATTTCTAGTAATAAAAATGAGACATTTAAAATTATCGAAAAAGATAAAAAATTGAATACTAAATTAATTGAAAAAAGGAAATAAACGCATTAAAATAAATTACGGATCATAAAGATTAATAGAAAATAACTTAAATGGTCAAAATCGAAATAAAATGAGAATAAAAATATCTGGTTATAAAACACTGACGATTAAGAACGAGACTTCAAACTGTACTAAAAAAATAAAGTGAACACATTGTCGTGATCTACGCAAAACGTAGATTCATAAAAAAAATCAGTTAAAGGTGAAAACTCGAAATGTTTTCTCGCTAGTTTTCGTACAGTGTCGAATCACTTTTAACGTTCTGTCCGTAGAACCAAAATATCAATATTATCAATATATAAACAACTTAATGCAATGCGAGAAGCGGGTAAAGAGATGAAAATACATGAAATGAAATAACATGTATTTTTACCTATAAAATGATACAAATATTTATTTAAATTGACTTTTGGTCAACCTAAATACGATTAAATGATACAAATGTGATTAATCAAGATATATATTAAAGATTGTGATCGAATAACAAAAGATGATGTGATAATGCGACTAAAAATTTTAGGGTGCAACAGTTGTCCCTATTTAATTATCTTTTAGCGAGACATACGAAAAGTAATTAAAATACAAATAGACTTGAATTTCGTCCTTGATGCAATGAGAAAATAGCATATGTTATGAATGCATGGACTCTTTTTTGACATAAATTTTTTTGTATATGATATAATATGCATAGGATAAGACACTCTGGAGAAACTTGAGACAAATGCAAAGGAATTCCATTGGAAAAACTTGAAGGGGAAAGGAAATAGCGCCGCCAAATCAATCTAAACCAATGTGTTGATAAAGAAAAACAAAAGATGACCTACATCAACTAGTTTACTAATGAAGGAAAACAAAGACATGCTTACATCAGTTAATGTACTGATGAGGAAAAGCAAGATGACCTACATCAGCTAATATACTGAAGAGGGAGAGCAAAATGACCTACATCAGCTAATGTACTGATGAGAGAGGACGAAACGATCTTCATCAACTAATGTACTGATGAGGAAAGGCAACACGACCTACATCAGCTAATGTATTAAAGAGGGGAAGCAAAATGACCTTCATCAGCTAATATACTGACGAGGAACAACAAAAAGATCTTTATCAGCTAATATACTGACGAGAGAGACAAAACGAACCTACATCAGCTAATGTACTAATGGGGAATAGAAAAAAGATCTTCATCAGTTAATGTATGAAGGTGTGAAGAAAACGCAAAAATGGGGAGGTTTGAATTGGGTTTTCCTTTCTTACCTAAATTTTGTTTCTTAACTTGTTGCGTTAAAAGATGATTTTGAATATGTTGTAGAAGCATAAGCAATTTAAGTATAAGCAGAATTAAAGAACGCGTGATATATCCCAGCTCACTTAGGAAACACTCAAGCTAGTCCAGTCCACCCTACCAAGGTGATTTCCTTTGAACTCAAGGACTTAATCCATTATAACCAAACTGATTACAATCTGCACAGACAACTGTTGTGACTAACAACCACTAAGACCACCATCTTAGTCTTCTCAAAGCTTATGACCTAACTGGTCCTTTAAGGAACACATTACCTTCTAAAGCTTCTGATCTAATTGGTCCTTTAGAAGAAACACAAAAACCTTCATAAAGCTTCTGACCTAACCGGTCCTTTAAAAGGAACAAACAACTGTTTTTTTTTTTACAAAGTTTGTTTACAAGAGAATTCTTCTACACAAGCAAGTGTAAACTCAATTAAGTACATCAGAAGATCCTAATACACACTAAAAATATTACATTGTATTGTAGCTATAATGTGTAGTCTTCTTTTCTTCAAGTATCTTCTTCACGGACAACAGTCCAAAGCACTTGAATTGCTGAAGTCTTCTTCTTCATAAGCTTCTGAAAGCTTTTTTGATCTTGATGTAGTAAATAGAAGAACTTATTCATCTTTATTCATCTTAGAACATTTTGGACAACAACCCTTGTTCTATTTAATTCAATGATCACTTTAAAGCACAATATTTATGTTGTGGATTTGCAATTTAATCTTCCATGATCATCTTCACCATCTTCTACAGCTTAGCAAGCTTCTTGCAGTATATGAAATTAAGCATGTTTTGAATTAATAACTTCATTGCTATTTTGTAATCATCAACAACATGTTTCAAGAATCATTTTGATAATAATTGTTCTTGTTGTTGTTATAGTGGTTGATCATTTTTGGTTGTGTTACAATAATGACAGGTTTTATTTGAACACCAAACACCAACAACATTTTAAGCATATGATCATTTTCTTATATAGCCAAGCAAAAATAGATTTGTTGGCTAAAAAAGAGTCGTTACAAATAGTGCCGCTACGTCATTTTCTTTTCCACAATTCAAGCTAGTGGAGAGTTTAATACGGTGGGAGAGCTGAATTAGTTGTTTTGTATTTGATCGCAATTATTGCGGATAGCAAGAGTCACCACCGACTTTTCTTTTATCCAATAAGGAAAGGGTGAAAAGAACAGGAAAGACCTTTGATATTATTTTCTTGAGTTCGGGGGATAGGTTATGAAAAGGGGAGGTGTTAGCACCTTTTTCATCCGTACTTATCTACGGGCTCTTAGTTTCTTGCTAGATCACTTGCTTTTGTTTGAAAATATGCTTTGTGGTGTGGGTTTGAAAATATTTTGAAAATTTTTTTGTAATGATTCTCGTCTCTATAAGAATACGTACAAAATGTTGGTTTTTGAAAAATAGTTCAAAGAGATGTTTGTGGAAGATGTTTTTGAAAGTGATTTTGAAAAGTGTCTTTGTAATGATTCTCGTCTCTATAAGAATGCGTACAAAGAGCTTTGACTTTTAAAAATGTTTCAATTAAAAGTGTTGGTGTGAAAATGGTTTTTTAGTTGTGAGCAAGCAAGCAACTATGAGCATCCTACCTACTCAAAAGGTCTAATGTTCTTTTCCTCCTCCTTTAGATGTTGCTATCTTACTATTGATTTGGTAAGAAGCCCCATCTTTGGATGTGAAGGGACGGGCGTGGGTTGTTTGTATAGTCATAAAAGGCAACCTATGGGAAGTTTTAGCAATTTCATTAGGGACTAGATTGTTTACCGAAGGCAACATCAAGGGACATCGAGGGACTACGGACTTTTATCGAGGGTCTTTGCTAAAATGCCCATATTCGAGGGACATGACTATTTTCCGAGGCAACAAGTAATATTATCCTAGAGGTGCATGTGTGTGAATAGTGTGTTTGATTGCATGCATTTTTGTCTTTGATTTTTGGGTTGTCTACTTGTTGGTTTTATCTTGCCATACATCCTAATTACTAACATTTGTATAAGGTAATAAAAATACAGAAAATAAATGTCCTACACTATTACAACCATATTGAATAGCAAGAAAATGTACAAACACAAAACAAAATAAAAGAAAGGAAAATAGGTTCTTCGATCCAGGCAGTATGCACCCTTCGATTCTGCCTTTTTTGCTTCCTTTGATTGCCGAAATGTTAGTGTGAGAAAGTAATCGTCGATTCGTCCTTTTTTGCTTCCTTCGATTGCAGTAATGTTAGTGTGAGCAAGTAAACTTCGATTCTTCCTTTTTCTGCTTCTTTCGATTGTGCCTGGAAGTCAGCATGTGCAGGCATCCTTCGATTCACACTTTTTGCTTCTTCGCTTGGGGTATGTAACCAGTGTGGATCGAAGTCTGTAACCTTATATTCACACACCTTTGTTTTCATTTCCTTTCATTTATGGTTAAATAACAGTGTGGGTTGAATGCTAATATTGTTTCATGGTCTGTTTAGTTCTTAAGGAAAGTTTTAACAAACAAAGAAAACAAGCCAGAAGATTAGCAATAAAAACCAATGGACAAAGTGGAAACAACACAAACCAAAGGGTAATAATGATGCTTGAAACGAAAAGAAATAATTATTTATATATTATGCTAGAAACGAAAGGTTTAAGGTTAAAGGGACTTACCTTGCTTGAAGCTGGAAAATGGGTTTTGGACTTGAGTTACTTCCCCGGGTGCTCCTCGATTCGAAGGGAATGAGACAAGTGTGGTGCCTCTTTGCCTGAATTCGAAAGTCATGAAGAGTGGGGTTTTGTTTGTTTCTGGATTCGAAAGAAAAAAGGAACAAGTGTTGTGCTTCTTTAGTTTTGGATTCGAAAGAGCAGAAACAAGGGTATAGTCATTTGATTATGGGTTTGAGAGTGTGTTAGGTGTTTGATGATTTTTCACACAACCAAGGTTTCTCCAGCTACCCAAAGGCTCCCCTAGATGTGTGATGGAAACTCTTATTTATAGATGAGTTTGGCTGAGGTTTGGGAGGGAAAATAAAAGAAATTTGAACAAATTGGGTATGTTGTTCTTGTAGTCTTCGAGGTCCATTTTTTTGTATGCCAATTTGGTGCAAGTATAGGAGCAGCGTGGTAGGACTGCTTTGTAGCAGTTTTGGAGTGTTGTGGCCAGTGCAGCAGGCTTGTACTTGGCACTACTAGCATCTTGAATACTTCTCTTTTATCTTGATCAACTAGCGTTATCCTTCGACCAGACTCCTTTTCAGAGGACAACATTTCTTTCCAATCAAAGTGTCCTTCGAAGATGTGTATCTTTTAAAGCGGCCCAAATGGGTATCCTTCGATTTGAAACATGTATGTGTTCTTTTGAAGGGACCACATGCATCACTTGTGTGCATCACTTACAATTCTTCAGATGGGCCACCAAGGTACAACCTTCGATTGGGACACCCAGATATGTCATAGTGTAGAGACTATGCGTGTTGAAGGTTTTCAAGAGGGAATCGAAGCTTATATGCAGGAGGTCCCTTGCTTTGTGGGTGCTAGCATGAAGGGAAATTTATGCCTTGT